ATTCTTATAAATGATGTCAAGTGTGAAGTTCTTTTGAGATTTTATTCCCTTTCTTTTCATTCGCTATGCATTTGTGAATTTCAATTGAAGTCTCAACACATGAGATTATATTCAAGATCTCTTTTTTTGTAAGGATTATTCAAATGGTAATTAATTCTAAAATCAATTATTAAGAATGGAGTGGAAGCAAAGAATTTTCATGAATAATAAATAAATTTATCTTCCTACACTTCAGACTTGATTTATTTTTTTTCTCGGAAGAACCTTAATGCTCTCATTTTCATCCTCCTAATATCAAATTTCCTGTGACTTAATTAACAAATAAGTTCTTTTTAAATCTGTGAATGGAAATGAAAGAAACGACAAGTTTGAGGAAAATTTGTTAAGGAGTTTTGGAATGTAGGAAGCGCATGCTATAGGCTGGGTAATTTTCATGCATCAATAGCAGCAGCAACACCTCCATAAAATTACATTTAGGATAATTATCAGTATGTGGGTCTAATACCCTCCCATCCACAAATGTTTTATGCCTACGTGACTTTATTATTTCAGTCAACAATCAATTATAATGAAACGTCTGCAGGGACAGTAAATTGAGTAATTAATAATGTTATCGGTCAGTTTGAAATAAAAGAAAATTTGGTAATAAATTGCTTTTCATGAAATATAATTAAACATCCTCGAAAGCCTGTATTATTAGTAATAATAATATAAAATTATACGATAATAATTGTCATGTCTTTTACATGCATACATTTTCACCCTCAATAACTCATTCAAAATTGCACGCAGTGCACGACTTTTTCAATTTTTCTTTCTTGCTACTTATTAAATTTGTAAAATAACAATTAAAACAATGGCAAATATAATTGTCAATAAATAATAGCTTCCGTGATTCATGTCGCTGTCAGTATATTATTAATTCAATTACAAATATTGACTACGTGATGTGCTTTTGTTTTAATTTAAAATTCTAAATAAATGTCGTGAAAATGACAGCAATTGTTATAGTTTAGATGTGGAAATAGATTTTATCGAGGGAAATAGCCTTAGCAGTGAAGATATTTTTATAATTTCTTTAAATGCAATTTTTTATAAACGATCATTTTAAAATTTAAATATATTTGAACGCCATTTTGAAATTTTCTCCACTTCAAAAAGTTTTTTCCGATTTTCTTCGATTCTAAAGTTTATTTTCCGCTTATTTTGATTAATAATGGAAGTAAGAAGTGGCAAGAAGCTTGATCAATAAACTTTTATTTTTAATTAAAAGATTTCATAACAAACACAACTTCACAAGAAACCAGACAAAATGTTCATCACAAAAGTCAACAAATTCGCGAAAATTCTCGCTCGACAGAAGAAAAACTTCATAAACAGCGTGGGGTGGATGGAAAAAGCAGAAAAACTTTTGTATTAAAAAAGTATAATTTGTAAGAAGATGAACGTTTATTCACTTTATTCATCCAGTACACTCTCGCTCTGTCTCTTCATGCTCGTTACGTCGATGTTGATTTACATTTTTAATGGAATTTAATTAAAATTTTATGGCAAATTTATACATATACTTCGTTCTTTACTTCTACTTGTTCAACAGTTTCTCGTGGATGTCGAGAAAAGAAATGTATAAAAATGTGCGCATCGTGTTAATTGATAATATTTTTTGTTCTCCTCCCTTCTCATGCTGTCTTTGCATTGCCAAAGTAATGGCTCTCATACAAACATAATATGCAAGTTAGAACAGCGAAATGAAAGATGAAGACATAGCAAGAAAGATGCTGTCGCACCCAAGCGAATAATGAATGAGCAAAGTGATGAATGAGCACAGATTTTCTTTATATTTTTTTCATTTCTAGTTTGCTTCACTTAAATGATTATGGTGTGTCGGTTATTAAAATAAAATGAATTATAAAGCGATGGCAGTTAAATGCGCTAAAGCAATGAGATTTATGTATTCACATTCCCTCTTCATGATTGTAATAAAAAAAAAATTTTTTATACATTTTGTGACGCAGTCACTACAGAAGATCAAAATGTATATCTGTTTATATATTTTACTTCAAGCCTCAAAATACTGCGAGTAAAATTTACTGGATTCTTCTTCGTCATTTTTTTTATTTTTATTTTTACGACATCATTTACTTTGTCATTAGCCCAGAAGCAGTTAATGGCGAGGATAACTATACGGAGATAAATATAAAATTTTTTTATGGCTTATATGGCTCTGCCTTAAGACTCAAATCAGAGATTATGGAATTATGTTCATTTTCTCTCGTCTTGTCTTTTAAGTCCTCGGATTTTTGGCACGGATGATGAGACATCCGTAGAGTTAAGTTGAAATTATGAGATGAGCTGTTGTGTATTTTATTATAATTTGTGAAATGAGATGAAAAAGGAAGTATAAAAAGTATGGCTGAGGGAGAAATTGTAATTTGCTTTTAGAGGAAAATTAGGGAATCTTTTAAGGGGGGTGATGTCTTAAGATGGATTGAATAAAAGTAATTTTATACTCAATATTTAAAGACTAAAAAGTTTGAATGTTTAATTTAGTTGTAAATCCTGACATTCATTCATGCATCGTTCGTAATTTATCTCAAATCTCAATGAAAATTCCTCAAACATTCTCTAAATTCCCCCTTACAGCAATAATAGCCTCCCTTAAACATTCTTTCATCACATCATCACATTTTGCTCTGCCACATTATAGCATGGAATCATTTCATAACAGAATGTTTATATATATTTTTGTAATATTAGATAATGCAATGTAATGCAATAGAAAATAAGTTATTGAAGCACTAAAATATCCTTTTCAGTTAACGCTCATCTTATCACAATTTTAGTCTCATTTTCTCCCCCTTAACATCTTAGTGCTATGCATTATAAACATGTGAATGAAAGTGTATATAAAAAAATAAATAAATAACAATTTTATTTTAATACATTGCATTACAACAACGGGAACAAGAGAATCATAAGCACACAAAATATATATTTTCCGTTTTTTCTTTCTTTTCTTTTATTCGATACTCAAGTGTACGTCGTTAAGCGTTAGCGAGCAATAAAAAGATTTATTGACATCAATATCATGATAATAAAAAAAAAGTATATAAATATATATAAAGCGAGAGTGAGAGAAGTGAAATAGAAATAATAAAACACAAAAAATGACTGTCGGATGGATAATATGTAATGAAATGCTAATACGTTTGTGTCTATTTTCGTGTCAGCAAAGCTTTTAAAAATAAAAGTTTTTAATTTACATGGCAAATGATGAGAAATTGCTGATTTGCGTATACTTTACTGAAATTGTTTGTCTTATTGATTTGCATCAATGAGGCGAGAAATTTTCTAAGTGAATGTGAGAGCCTTTTGTAATGTTTGATGTGTTAGCTTATGGAAATAATTGATTAGGTACATCAATGGAGCAAACAGCGACCAAATAATTATTATTGCTTCGAAATGATGCGAAAATTGATGCGAAAAAATTCAAAATTGCACCGTTATATTTTCCATTTGAGTCAAATTTCACAAAATAAATCTTAATCGAACCCAAAAAAAATTCCTAAATTCTTTATCGACTTGCATGACGAGTGGCTCTTTATAGTCTCATTATAATATTGTAACTTTGTGTTTATATCACACACAAGACTGACTGAAAAAAGAAATAGTAATAAAGAAATGTCTATAAAAATTACGACCCAAAAGAGAGAGATGTTATTATCGTAATAAAATATTCAAGGGTATTCATTAATAAAAATACGCAACAACAACAATGAGCAGCAATATGCGGGGTTCTAAATGTGTATAATATATAAAAAAAACTTTATATTATTATATTTTTGTGTTGTATACGCCATAGCATTATTGTTTATTATTATTATTTCATTAATGGACTACAGAGTTGTAAATGTTTATTTAATACGATTATTGCTGCACATTGATTATGATGCGATGATTCTATTGCGTTGAAAACCCGGGGGGAAAAGTTGTAAGGGAAATGAGTATAATATAAATATAAAAATAAGAACGCAAATGAATTGTAAATCATATGATTTGTATAATAATGTATATAAACAATAAAGATACGTCTATCTAATGGAAGTCGACCAAAAAAGTGGATGTATCGTTAAGCTAAAAGGGGGGAAATGAAGATGGGGTAATTTTGTATGATGAAATATTCAGTACATTTAGAGAATTGAGCAAATCGTAATGACAATCATAATAATAAATACACAAGCCATAACCAGGCAATATATATACATGTGTACAGCATGTAGGAGATTCGAAATAATAAGAGAAATGGGCAATGATCCATTAATTTTGTCACGCATGAATGCGGAAATGTTTAACGGCTATGATGATGACGATGATGATGCTCTAAATTAATTGTATGGAAGTAACATGAAATGCGTTATGGCCTGTCTTCGATAACAAATTGGGCGCACTCCGTTACGCTGTCGGAGCACACAAAAAAAAATTCAATAATTTTATGTTTCTTTTTTTTCGTTGTTATTTTCATGAAGTGAAAGACACACAAAAAAATATTTTCCCATTCTCCCAATTTTTACATGTCAATGCCGCATGACATTTAATACGACAATTTCATGTTTGCCATGCATTTTATATGATTTCATGTGTATGTCTATCTGTCTATTTGTATGTCTGTTTTATTCAATAATTGTTTGACATTTTCAACCGCACCATGGAATTATTTACAAATTATACACTATCAATTTACAATCAGCACTTGTTTTTTTTTCGTTGTTCAGTTCTCACATGCCATTGTTGTTAATGTCAGCCACTTAACATTCCACATACTCGATTCAATCAAATTGTTAGTAGAATGAGTGAATGGGTGGGGATAGGGAGGCATATATGTTTGTATTATTAATTAGTTGATAAATCAATTCAATTCAATTTAATTAGATAATCAAAACAAATGAGATGTGATTAATAAAAGTTAATAACAATGAATATGGTATGTATGTTATTCTTACCTGCAGTGGTGTCGTTGCAAATGGGAGACTAGGTGGAGGTAAAGCAGCTGGGGCAGGGCTTGGATTCGGCGCTGGGCCACTATTTGATGGTTGACATGGTACAGGACTAAGACTACCGCCAAGGCCCAATGGCCCATTGCTTAAAGGAACTCCCGTTGTTTGGAATGAATCGACGGGCTTTCTCGGCACCACCGCAGCAGATGTTGTTGTTGATGCAGTCGTTGATCCACCATCAGATGCCTGATGAGGAATTTATGTGTTTTTTTCACATAGTTTTATGGTTTTGTGTTACAATATAATGGATTATTTCATGTGATGTTATTATGTTATTTTTTTGTTAGGAACACACAAATACACACACACACACGTGAGTTGTGAGCATAATTAAAGTAGAAATAAAATGAAGAGAATGGGAAGAGAAGAAGTGAGAAAAAAGATTATATAGAAAATTAATGATCGTTACTAACAAAGTCAAATTACTTAAGCGTAGTCATTTAATTTGCCACAGAGTTGTAGACATACGTTCGTACAACATATTTCTTTCTTCACAATTCTTTTTTTTTCTTCATCATCATCGAAATAAGAGGATTGTGTGATGGGGGGAATCGAATGGAACAAGAACAAAATCGTGAGTAATTTCTGGTGAATTAAAAGGGCGCATTTTTTCATGTTATCGTAAGTTCCACATTGACTCAATAAACATTTTGATTTATTGTCCCAAGAAATTAGATTTGTCGTACTTAAAGGATGATACCTTTTAGTCATGAGTAGGAAGTTCGAGAGAAAAGGTTATGACAGGATGTTGACCTTTGGTGTTGGTTAATGGTTAGAAATGTCAGGCAGTTGAGTTACGATGGCCTTTTTTGAGGTCAATTTCTGAATATTATCATAAACGACTTTATAACTTATCTTATGTGATGGTTGTGGGAATTTGAGGGTGAATTTTTTGGGTTTTGTGGTTTAATTAGAATTATTATGTTTCATTTTATCCACAAAACTGTTTAAAATGATCTTAAATACCCTCAGAATAGTAGATTGTTCAGAATTTTAACTGATATCTTTAAAATAACAGTTTTGGATACTGATTACTAAAAGCCTTACAAACTTTATCTATTAAATACAAATTTATCATCAGCCAGACAAACAACCAACACCTCCAAAACCCCAAAAATCCTGACATTCCGCTAAATGAAACTTTTTCATTCCAACTTTTTTTTAAGGTTCACTAACAGAGAAAAGATTCATTGGATTGTGTGGAAAGGTAATGTTAAAGGAATTAAATTAAATGAAGTTTTTTTGCTTCTTTTCTTTTCATTCTTTTTCATTTTGTGTGTGATAAAAAAAAAGCACAAAAAAAAATAAAACGACTCAAAGAGGAATTGAAATTGAATTGAAAAAGAATTTTTCTTGCTGTTCGCTTCGCTAAAATGATTTTAAACTGTGAAAATGTTTTACACACAAAAAAAAAATTGCGATTGCTTTTTGAAGAGAAATCTTTAAATGAAAATTTTTTCCTTTCGACACTAAAGCTTCTCATTCGTCTTTTATTTTTTTTTTTTGTTTAAGTCATTTTTCAGTAAACCGTATAGTTTTTCTTTTTTTCCCTCGCTTTAGATATATTTTAAACATATCTTTTTTATATACTTGATGAAAATACATCTTAGCGTTTTTTGTTCCTTTGAGATGAAATGAGGAAGAAGAAAGAACTGTAAACGAGATGAAAATATCGTCTTCGACATAGAATGATAATAAAGAGCTAAGAATGAGTTTTGTTCGTGGGTGAGCTACGTTAGCGCATTTATTTGACATACTATTTTCATGGATGAGTAAGATTGAATTAATACGATGGGAAATTTGTGGATGTGATTGATGTATTGTTGGTTTTTCTTGGAAGGATGAACGGAGAAGTCGAAAAGTTTTGTTAACAATTTTTTGGAACACTAGTCATTGATTTATTGGGGTATCGTGGTATGTTAGTGATTTTATTGGAATATGTGTGAGATTTTGTGGTTGATTTAAGGTTTTATATTCAAGCTAGTGACTTCAACGTCGTCTTTTACTTTACAGAGTGTAACGAGGCTCCAATCCTTTCTTATAAGCGATACAATTTATTAAAATCCAAACTTCGTCTAAGTTCCACACCACAAAATCAAATCGTAACCCTACTTCCTCCCAAAATCAGCTAAATACATGAATAATATCCATTTCAAGAAATCTCATTTCTTTCTTTTCTTTCCTTTTCATTCCTTTTATTTTCGAAACTCAATTCTCAGTTCTTATTCGACTTTCTGAATCAAGATCTGTCAGATCATTCGCATTAAATGAAGATAACGATGGTAAATGTGAAATGGCATTTTGCTGAATGCGAATTCGTATCAGAAACGGTAGAATGTATTAAAAGTGATAGAAGGAAGAGAAGAAAATTGCTTTGTAGATTCACAATCAGAGCACATTTGAAAGGAGTTAGGTATACAAGATAAGTCAGCAAAGAAAATTTAAATATATGATGTAGATGCTTACTATAAGCTGGTTATAGCTATTTTGGCGAATCAAAAGCTATTTTTCTTGTTTACATTTTAATCCTCTACGTATCATAATCAATGCATGAAGTTCTTAACGGATTTTTTCCTTATAGCTTGTTGGAATTTAAATCCAATCTGATCCACAGTCAGACAATCTTTTATGCTAGTCTTACGAATCGCATGAGGTAATTACCCATAAAATCATTAATTTTACAAAACAAAAAGAAATGTAATTAAATTATCAACATTTCACAGTTATTTGCAGCTACAATTATCTTCGCCTTTTTAAATAATTTAGATATCATTGTCACTTCACTTATTCGTGAAGGTTTTCATTGTACTTTAATTTTATCCACTCAGTCATTTGTTGACTCTATGTCAGTGTTGTTATCTTGGTAGACTTGAAGCAGACATAAAATCTGTGTCGAGGTGCTGATATTATTATCAATCGATGAGTTAACTAAGAGTGTCTAAGTTGAAGTGATTTGTGATAAAGGGACGATTGAGAGAAGGCACATGTAGCTTGGATTTGTGATTATAGAAATTAAATGTTGCATGTCTTATAATTCAATATTTTTGTAAGGTCAACATCCAAAGATCAAAAAAGTCACCAAACTACCAACACTGCTCTCGTGTATCTCGTTTGTTTTCCGATGTACATTAATCAAGAATTAATGATTATAAAACTTTTACAGCAACAAACAATCTCTACATTATAGAGACAATATAAATTGAAATAAGTTATTTGGGCAATTGACAACGAGACAGTTGAAAATAGGGAAAAAGAACGACAAAAGCAAGAAGAAGGAATAAAAGAAAGAAAACAAAAGAAAGGAAAGAAGAAAACTTCAACTTGCCAGTCAGTTTGAAAAAAATAAGCAAATAAAGAAATGAAGAGAAAAAAATGGGAAATAAAAGTTTCATTTTAAAAAGATTTTTCCTATCGCATGACTTTCAAACAGAGTTTAAATAGATATTTTTCATTCTTGACTTGAGTTGTAATAAAAGACAAACTTTTATTTATAGACATTACTGCTCTACTCTGTTCTTCTACCATTTCTCGTTTTTTATTTTGATATTTGGTACTTTACTTCTCCTACTGTTGATGCTGATTCTTTATATCCCCATGAGCATTGAAGCATCCCATAATATTATCATGTTACATGCTACTATGTGTATGTTTTTGTATGACTATTTTATTCCACTGCACAGTAGATGGAATGAAAATAATTTTATATGTGCATTTAGCACTGGATTTTTGTGGATGTGGGAGACAGTTTGTCTGGTTTTGCTATTCTGTCTATGATTCGTGTGAGGTATTTTGAGAATTTACAGGTTTTTGTCATGCTGCATCGTCTGTATTATATTGAACAAAATTTTTCTTAAGAATTGAACCTTCGCAAGATGAATTTTCTTATCTGAACTTAAATTAGATAGCCTCGAGGATAACAAAATATGTACAACATAAATGAGACAAAAAATTGACCAAATTGAAAAAGATTTCAGAGATTATTCCAGAATATAATGAACCTGTTCATCCAAACTAGCCGAAAATTTTCAAAATTCTGATACTATCGTCTCCACTTTACCCACAGTCAACAGCATCTCAAGGTTTCACATCACAATCTCTCCACAGATCACCATTAAAAGTGTCGACATGACCAATTACAGCAATATTTCATCAAATTTAATATTCATTTAACTGTAAAACGCCATAATCATTAACATCAGGCGACATTTTTAAACTCATTTTTATTTTTATATGTGCTTCAGTCGGAAAATGACATTAAGGCAGTTTCATACTGTGTGTAACTATGTAGCGTGCTTGTAAAACTAATTTTAAACAATTTTTTACTCTTAACAATGTACAAAATGTCTTGTCATGACTGCCACAATTGCCATTTTGTCGTAAATCAGTTGCATGTAATAATAATAAAATAATTTATACGACTATATGCCGAGAGAGAGAGTGAGAGCGATTTAACATGAAAGATTTATACACAATGAAAATTCATGTGAAATATAAAATAAAAGAGTATGGCAGGATGAATAATATAATAAAATCTGAGCTGCGATGTGTATGAATGGAGTTATTGAATCGGAAATGCACATGCATAATATTTACACACGTTGTAATGTCGCACTACATCATCATTATGTTGTTAATTGAAAAATATTAACATGAGTGAAGACACGGGCTTTTCAACTAGTAGAACAAGTCTCGAAAAATGACATAAAAAACAGCATTTTATGTCTTAACCGCAGTCTCGTTTAATGTGCGAGAAAATTAATTTTCGTTTAAAAGAAGAAAAGAATCTTCGAAGTTTATTTATTCTCAACGAAGAAAAAAAAAATAAAATAAAAAGCAATATATCCGTGAATACATGTGCATGTATCACTTCTCCTCAGACTCAATTTGAGAATGAAAATAAATACAAGAAAATGTTTTCATTAAATTTTTTTTAAACATCTCTTTTTTTTCTTTCTCTTCTTGTGTACACATTTTTGCCTGCCATCAAAAGACGATAAAATATGCCATCGCTTATATGTCACGCACACAAATTGAATTTATTACCCGAAATGCTAAGATTATTTTATGGCATGTTTCAAGAGTTATTTGAACAAATAATAAATATTTCTTCCTCAATCTTTTTCACAATCTTCTTCTTATTTTTATACACACTGAAAGACTGAAGTGCTTCCCTTTTTGTCAAACAG